CTGAGTCCTTTTCCTGGAAATGCCAGGTTGAGTTGGGCCAATAAGGGAAAAGGATTCTCAGGGACAGAAAGACAGTAATAAATGGCAGGAGGCTGTGTAAGGAACTTCAGTGACTCACGAAAGAATCTGTAAATGTCTAGGACACATAGGAGTATGTTGTCATTCAAAGGAAGATGCCCCCATCAGTTGTGGTGGTCTCGCTAGTTTGCCATCCCAGTTATTAGGATGTCAGGCACAGAAGATCGGAGAGATCATAGGCAAGAGCAGAACAGAACACTGCCTGTGTTGGCGCCCTCTCTGGAAAACTCCCCTTCTGAACTGCAGGACTAAGGCAGGGCATTTAAAATAGAAAATGTGGTTTCCTCATGGTAACTGAATTCTTTTTTTATTTTTTTAATTTTTTTTTTCAGTGAAGATATACACAGCCAAAACATACACCAAGACATTCAACAATTTCTACATGTACAATTCAGTGACCTTGATTACATTCTTCAAGTTGTGCTACTGTTCTCACCTTCCTTTCACAAGTTATTCCACCACCATTAACATAAACTCACTGCTCCCTGAGCTTGTCATCTAACCTTTCGAGTTGCTGTTGTCAGTTTGATCACATATAGATAATTCTTTAAAAGAGCATAATGGTCGGGCAAATATTCCTTACTAATTAAGCTAAATTATTGTTTAGTTTAAAGATGACTTTAGAGGATAGTTTTGGTTTATGGTTTAAAGATTATCTTAGGGCAGTTTGTTTCATGGGGTCATCCAGTCTTAGTCGATCCAGAAAGTCTGGATTCCATGAGAATTTGAAGTTCTGTTCCACATTTTCCCTCTTTTGATTAGGATCCTTCTATAGAATGTTTGATCAAACTGGGTACCATCCAGTTCTTCTGGTCTCATGGCAAAAGAAGAAGTTGTTCATGGAGGCAGTTAGACATGCATTCCAGTCCCTCCTCTGTCAATAACAGAATTCTTTACCAAAAAAAAAGAGGAGGGGATATTTCCAGAATGTAGGGACATGACTCTCTACCTTTCAGATTTTCACGAGGCTTTTTTTTCTTTTCTTTTTCTTTATTGTTGTGAAAACACAACATTTGCCAATTCATCATGTTTCATGTGTACAATTCAGTGTGCAACCATCGCCAATTATCTGTTGCCAAATTGTCTATCACAAGAGACTTTTTAATGAAAATAACATAATCACCTATACCCATCCCTTTAGCAGAGTAATCTTTCAACCTAAGAATTTGTTTCATTTGTACAGTTAAAAGGAATTAATCCATAACTATTGAGTGTAGGGAAAAGACCCAAACAAAAGCAACTTTTTTTGCCAGTATTTTCAAAACACTGCTGAAGAGTATTTTGTTCTTGTAATACAAGCTGTCAAAATAGCATGCTTATGATTTTCTTCATCAACAGGAAATGAATCCAAGATTCCGTAGAGTAATCTTTCTATTTTTATGGACCCAGCTTGTTTGTAATTGTTTATCCTCATCATCGTATGTGAATAGAGGCATTTCTCAATTTAAATTGAGAACTGGATGGGAGCAGGAGAACAGTTTTCAATGACAGCGCCTTTCATCTTTCATTGATTTTGTCTTCTTTATTTTTTAATATTCTGGAGTTTTTTTTTTAATAGAGGATATATTTACATGGTTCAAAAGTACAAAAATGAGGGAGTAAAAACTCTCCCCTCCACCTCTGTCCCACAGTCACCCACTTCTCAACTGGCAAATACACAATCACTTGTATATCCTTCTGGATTTTTTATTGCACATGTAAGACCCTGTTCTGTACCTTGTTATTTTGTTTTGGGTTTTTTTAAGTTAATAATTTGTCTTGTGTATCTTTCTGTATTAGTACATAAAGAATGCTCGCATAACTTTTTTGTAGCTATAAAAGCTTCCATTGTGTGGATCTACTGGAATATAATCTGCGTAACCAATTCCTACTGATGGCATCAGTGTATAGTGCACGCATGTTATACATATGCCAATACCATTTTGTGCCTGGGCAAGTATGTCTGTAGGATAAGTTCTTGTAGAACTTACAGGCCAGTCCCACTCTGTCCTGTAGGTCACGATCGGTTCCAAACCTTGTCAGGCGTATTCTTCTCTACATGAAACATCACAGTACCTTTCATTTGCAATAAAACTAGAACTTGCCACCCCATGTTGTGGCAAAAGCAGAGAATTCACCTCTTCTGGAGGCAGTGGGGACTGCATTCCTTCTAGGGAATGGCAGACTGGGACGACAAAGTCATCTCTGGAGCCTGGTGCATTTTCTTAATAGTTGTCCCATATTGGGAACCACCAAAGAAAGCAGTATGGGGTGTGCCACTTCATTTAAGCCATGAGAGTCCACAGGCAGTTTCTGAGATCTGGCCACTTTTGAGGCTGGCTGGACAGGACTATTGTATACAGAGTGGGACAGAATTAGGATCCACATCTCTATCATCTTCTTAATTAAAGTGGATAGTCTTCTCACACTCAAGTTATCTCTCTTGTCAAACTTACTACTGCTCAGAGCTTTTGTGAGTCTAGAAGCTCCCACTTAGATATCCAGTTGATACTGGCTGAAGCGCTGCTCGTTTACTTTTTTCTCATTTGGGACAGTAATATAAAGCCTTGTTGGTGGAAGTCATGCTCTCTCCTAGTTATGCACCCTGGGAAAGAGAAAACCACACAGTCCTCCTCTGAAGTTCTCCCCACCGAACTTGGACATCTGAGTGAAGGATTCTTCCTTACTGGCCTCATCGCCTTGTGTACTCAGAACACCCCAACTCCTTTAGCACAGTGTCTAGGCAGATCCGTGCCCAAAAATAAGGATGTCTCACATACCTTGCCATACGACTTTGTGCTCAGAATTCTCCCTTGGATTCCTTGCTGCAAGGGCCACAGGAATGTCCCAGCCTGCCCCCCACACCACAGGACCGCCAGCAGTTCCTGCCACCATGTTCGATTGACTCATCCAATGGAAAAGGAAACCTTTTCAAGGCCTTGCTCAGATCACTCTGGCTTATCTCCTCCCCAGCCTCTTTCACAGCTCTTTTCGAATCAGTTAAATCTGAATAAACAAATACAAATTTGCCTAGGACCCTTGGGAGGGACCCATCCATTCTTAGCTTTTCTTCTCTGGCACCAACAAGCCGACATGTTTGCTGGTTATATGCTATCTCTGGCTTCTTCTGTTCTGGCATCATTCTTGTCCAATTGGCCAGGGCGGCGCTTGGTGCATTGTTGCACCATCCCTCTCCATTGCTCTGTACCCTACCCACCTCTACTCCCCTTTGTCTTAGCTGCAAACCCCATGGCAGCTTAGCCGCACTCACTCCATGCACAGGATGTTGGCTTTTAGAACACATTTAACTCACCAGATGGGACTTCACAGCTGTAGTCTGAGATAAAGGCTTTTCATTGTATCCTCATCCATTAGGGGCATGGTCATGGACATAATTCAGTTGACTCCACTCAACTGGTACTGGTAGGAAATCTCCAGGGGTGACGAGAGCATTGCAGGTGGAGCTGTCTATGAAGAGGGACTGTTTGAGGGCAGGGCATCGACACCTTTGAGGGAATCACAGTCAACACCCCCGCGTGCACTGTAATTGGACCATTTACACAAAGGCCCTGCTCTGGGTGGATTGCTTAGGGAAGAGAGTCCCAGTGCAGCACACAGTTTGATGAGGGGTGCAAGAAGGGCTGGATCCCCCTCATCCTCACTCCCCCTCTGTGCAGGACACAGCGTACAGGTAGCCTACACCAAACAAATATTTTTTAAAAAGTTGCCATCGAGTTGATTCCAACTCATAGCGACCTTATAGGACAGAGTAGAACTGCCCCATAGGGTTTCCAGGGAGCACCTGGTGGATTCAAACTGCCGACCTTTTGGTTAGCAGCCAAGCTCTTAACCACTACACCACCAGGGTTGGTGCCCCTAAAGGCTCGACACCCTGCAGTCTCCCCATGGAGCTTGACAGGATAAGACAGCCACTCTCTCTCTATGTCCTGTGTGGAAAGAAAAGATGTGAGAGGGAGGAAGAGAGAGAAGAGAGGAACAGAAGAGGAGGCAGGCAGAATAGGCGAATTGTAAAAGCCGAAGGGGGTTTGTTTGACCCTCAGGAGGATTTCCCTGGCGTGCTTAGAAAGCCAAGCAGTCCTGGAAAGGGAAGCCATGAATCATTTATGATTGTTTTCATTTTGTGTTCATTAAAAGCCTCTGCACTATTATTATCAAACCTTAATTGACTTGGCGCTTGGCACTGCCTCTGCCAGCCCCTGCTCCTCCCTGTACCATCAGAAATTCCTGGGAGCAGAGGCACTGGGCAGGCATCCTTCCTGAAGATCAAATGGAATGCGGTCGCCGTTCTTGCTTCTCTCTGATCATACATTCATCAATGTATCTCATGGGGCTTTAGCTCTGCCCCCCACGACCCCCTCTCAGCTCCTTGGCATCTCTGAGCCCTCTTGGTTTTCTCAGCCCAAGAGAACTTTCCCATGAGCCGGCTCCTCTCGCCGTCTTGCCTTCACGCCTGACCGTGCACACCCTCTGTCATGAGAACTACGCTGGGCAGCGAACCAGCAACGATGCGCAGTTACCTGATTTACTCCTTTTAATACACTTCAGTGAGGCCAGTGCATAAAAGAGAGGACAAATTGGCGAGTAATTACATTGTTAATTTGGCGGCAGTTTATCATATTGTGCAAGCGCAGTTTCCTCTTTAATTGTATTGGGGGGACACTTTGGTGCAGTTTATTGAGGGATTCTCAAGGATAGAAATGAAATACACAGGAGAGAAGGGAATCGGCTCTCCTCCCCATAACTATGCCTTCGTTTGCATATGTTTTGCGGCCTCTTTAAAAAGTGAACTCGTTTATCCAGGCCTAATTAATGGAACACCACAGAATGCATAATTAGGCTGTGGCAGCTTCTGCTGATGGATGGCTTTTGATCTAGGAACTGGAGATGCCCCCAGTTCAAAGGGCTGGATGCTTCCCTTTCAGAATCTCACCGGCTGCGTGTGCCTCACCACTGTCCCCCCTGAGAACGCGACTGTGGTGCCTGGGAAATGCCCCAGCCCCGGGTGCCAGGAGGCCTTCCTCACTTTCCTCTGCGTGATGTGCGTCTGCAGCATGATCGGTGCAATGGCGCAGACGCCCTCCGTCATCATCCTCATCAGGTAAGCACTCCGGCCAGCTTGGGGACCTGGGGGCCAGCCTTGCCGCTCCCCCTATCTGCCAGGTGTGTGTGTGCATTTCTCCTAGAGAACAGAAACGCGGAAACCACAGATAAACCAGGCAGGATAGAGCCACAGCAAGGAATGCACCTTCCCTAGGCCGATAGGAATCAGTTATCTTGGTGCAGACAGTTAATGTGCTCAGCTGCTAGCTGAAAGGTTGGAGGTTCAAGTGCACCCAGAGGTACCTTGGAAGAAAGGCCTGATGATCGATCTACTTCTGAAAAATCAGCCATTGAAAACCCTTAGGAGCACAGTTCTACCCTGACACACGAGGGCTTTCCATGAGTCAGCATTGACTTGATGGGAACAGGTTTGGTTTCATCTTTCCTACAAACTCACACCAAGAGTAGAGAGTAGGGCCTGAATGAAGGAGAAGACAGCACTGTCATTTCCTTCCAGAAGGAGCCTGTGCAGGTATTTCTGAAAGGGACTGTGGCTGTGGCCTGCTCTTTGCAGAGAGCAGCATTGTTGGAGCCAAGTGACCAAGGCACCGGACTAGCAGTTGAAAGTCCTTTTGCCCAGCCCTGCCTGCCTCCCCTGCCACTGGTCAACCCTCTGATCTTGGGCATGTCAGTTCCCCATGGGATGTCTCCAGCTCAGTTAGTGGAGGTGACACTCCGGGTTCTGCCTGCCTCTGGAGTGGTGTGGGGCCAGGTGAGACCGTGTGTGCAAACACTGGAGAGACGAGAGACAGCTGAGGAGGGCACAGTACAGTGGGGAGGGAAGCCACCCATTGCTCCATAATCCTGTGTCTCTCAGGACCTGTCCTGGGGCAGGAGAGGTGCCTCAAGATGAATTATTGAGTAATATTCTGAGTAACTTTTATCGTTTTCAACATTACTAAATCTGCATGAGGAGGCTAGAAATGAACTGATGAGCATCCATCTGAACAAGAGGAAGCCACACTACACAAAGAAAGTCTCTACTTTGTGGGATGCAGTTATCTAAGCAACCCAGCACAGTCCCAAAGGCTGGAAATAAAACTAGGAATGAAGTGCTTGGAAGTGTCCTTTGCAGATGCGTATCACCAGCGGCTTTAGCCAGCGTCTCTCTTCCTCGAGCCCTGCAGACCACACTTCCTGGTCTTTGTTGTGAATTCACCCAAAAGAAGATTTATAAGCAGGACGTATATTAGTAGAGGAGCCCTGGGGGTGCAGTGGCTAAGAGCTACGGCTGCTAACCAAAAAGTTGGCGGTTCGAATCCACCAGCCACTCCTTGGAAACTCTATGGGGCAGTTCTGCTCTGTCCTATAAGGTTGCTATGAGTCGGAATCGACTCTACGGGAACGAGTGTGGTTTTTTTTGTTTGTTTGTTTTTATATTACTAGAAGGTTATTAGCAATGTCTTGTTAATATGCAGAAGCATTAAGGGTAGGATACCAAATAGCCATTTTGCATTTACTACATTTGAAAAATGTGTTTAAAAAATTAACACCTAGTGCTTGCAAGGCTGTGGCAAAACTGGTAAAATCTCACTTTGCTGGTGGCATTGAAGATTGTATCATTCCTTTAAAAAAAAAAAACAATATGGCATTGTGAATCAAGGGCTATAAAAATGTTCAGACCCTTTTATGCGATAACCCTACCCCTTGCCATTTGTCTTAAGAAAAATACTCCTCTACAAGAAAGAAAAAAAAAAAAAAGCTCAGCAAAGATAGATTTTTATTACAACACTAAATGTAATAGCAGGAAAGCCTGAATTGGATATGAGTTAAATTATGGTACTGCAGTTCAGTGTAACGATATGAAAACTCTTAAGAATATGAAAAATGTTTATGAAATGAGCCATTGAATTTAAAACTATATATGCAGGCTGATTATGTATAATATGCATATGGACAAAACCTATCAGATCTCAAGTATGGGTTTAGGGTGGCAGCATTGTGGGTAGTTTATTGTTCTTATTAGAAATTCTCAGGAAATTTTATTGTGTGATATTCACACACAAAAGGCCCCAAGAAGCAGAGAAAATGCCCCTTACCACCATTAGCAGTGACTAGCCTTTGTCCTCTCCCCATCACACTCCTGCAAAAACACAGCCTCTAGGAGATGAGCAGTCGTGACTGGCAGACAAACACAGCAAATGTGTTGAAATCTTAATCCCTTCCAAAGCCTCGGTTTGACAAACAGCTCTTGGAGATTTTCAGGGAATGTCTGATCCCTTGTAAATGATCAGCAACCCAACCCATATCCATTGCAGTCGAGTCGAGTCCGACTCATAGCGATGCTATAGGACAGAGTGGAACTGCCTCCATAGGGTTTCCAAGGCTGTAATCTTCATGGAAGCAGAGTGCCACATCTTTCTCCCGAGGAGCGATTGGTGAGTTCAAACTGCAAACCTTTCACTTAGCAGTCGAGTGCTTAACCACTGTGCCACCAAACCCGTTACCGTTGAGTTAATTCCAGCTCATAGCGACCCTGTAGGACAGAGTAGAACCTGTAGGGTTTCCAAGGAGCAGCTGGTGGATTCAAGCTGCCGGCCTTTTGGTTAGCAGCCTGAGCTCTTAACCACTGCGCCACCAGGGCTCCCTAAATGATCTAGGGTGGGCGTTGTCCAGCTCATAACTCTGGCCCCCAGGCTCACCTACTGAAGACACATGCTCATGCGGTATGCTCACTGGGAAGGCCAAGGTAGCATCTGTCCAGTCTCCTTCCTAGTCTTACTTGCCGTTATAGACATTCAGGCAGGCAAAGGGCACAAGCAGCCTGAGCCATGGCCCAGATATATGGCAGCCCCTGCCCAGTGCCAGGTGATGCACCCACTGTCAGGCTGTTGTTGTTGTTAGCTGTTGTCAGTTTGCCCCCTGACTCTGGTGACCCCATGCACAACGGAGCAAAACTCTGCCTGGTCCTGCACCATCCCGGTGATTGCTTATGGATGTGACCATTGTGATGCACAGGGTTTTCATGGGCTGATTTTCGAAAGTAGATTGCCAGGCCTTTTTTCCTAGTCCATCTTAGTCTGGAAGCTCCACTGAAACCTGTTCAGCATCATAGCAACACGCAAGTCTCCACTTACAGCTAAGTGGTGGCAGCGCATGAGTTGCATTGACTGGGAATCGAACCCGATCTCCCTCATGGAAAGTGAAAATTCTACCACTGAACATCAATGCCTCATTCTCAGGCTAGCCCGGAGCGTCCTGCTGACAACAGTGCTCAGACTGTCCACAAGAGAGGAGAAAAGCTGATGTTCACCAAGCCCCTATTAAGGGCCAGTTTTTAACTTACTGTATTTACATTTTTGTTAGTATTATTCCCCTTTTAGAGATGGGGCAGTGGAGGTTCAGAGAGAGATTAAACAGTTTACTCAAGGTCACCAGTTAGTAAGTTATGGAGCCGATGTCACATCCCTGGTCTTGCTGGGAACTTTCAATAACATGCAGATCTGAGCCCCCTATTTCTGTATAACTAGATCCGAGAAGGATTATTCCTCCAGTGGGAGCCACTTTCCCAACAGGATATGAAGAGAGATCTTAATACCTTGCTCACTTTGTTCGTTGTGACAGGATAGCTAAAAGGAAATCAAATTTCAGGTGATAAATAATCTAGCTCATTAGACTAGGATGCTTTTTTGATAAGGAGGCTTTGCCTTTATTTATGTGTCTTTCAAGTCAATACCTTCAAATGAATGTATAAAAATTAGAACCAAGGAGCTGATAATGAACATGAATATTGTAACAAGCGTACTCTAAAGAGCTGTGTTTCTGTCTGGACGTTGTTGATATCATACAGGTGTCTGGCTTAGTCAGCCAGAAAGTGGTTTCTGCACCTACGGCCCTGGGATTACTTACCTCTGTTGTACTCTTTGTAACTGAGAAGAAATGTGTCCTTTCCCAAGCATAACACATCTTTAGCTTTCCCTGAGAATCTCAGAAATGAGGGCAAAGATTTCAAAAACTTGTCCACGTCCTTTTGGTTTGGCGGTGTCTTTTGGTCTACCATTGTTGCTGTGTTGTTATTGGGTGTCGTGGAGTCGAAACCAAAGATATACCCACCTGAAGTTCAAACCAGGTAACAGGTCATTGGATGGATGCTATTGGGTGGTTGGGATGGATGACACAATTGAATCCATTACAGTATTGAAACCCTATTGGTAACTTGACTTCTAACATTTATTTTCTACAGAATTTCTTGCTAGGCCTTCCCTGGATCAAGTAGGTCTTCCTAGTCTTACAGCCATACTCAAATGCTCCTGGTTGCTTCTAAAGGCTCAGTCACACTGGAACTGTCTCTGACTCTAGCCAGGTGCTCCTCAGGGGCATAGCTGTGTGTTTTACCTCTTTCTCTTCCCTAGAGACTCATGATCGGGATTGGATTAGAGGCAGGTTCACTGCCAGTGGTACTCAGAATGACCTGAGGCACACGAGCGTGGGGTTGGTGAATTATCTCCCTCTTCATGCTCCTTCACCACCAAGCCAGAGATAAGCCTGCCCCATGTCAAAAGTGGGAGGCATTGCCCGCCCATCCATCCCTTTATATGTTCACTCAGCACATGCTCTGCGCCGGCATGGCACCCAGTAACAACACAACAACAATGGTAGGCCAAATGACATGGCCAGACCAAAAGGATGTGGATCTAGTTTTTGAAATCTTTGTCCTCATTTCTGAGATTCTCGAGGAAAGCTAAAGATGTGTTATTCTTGGGGAAATACACTTTCTTTTCAATTATAAAGAGTACAATAGACACTATGCTAGGTTTTGAAGTTACGATGACAAGAAAGATACAAATATTTTCTGTCCTCAAGGAGAGAAGACGAGCGTTTAATAAATGCTAGTTACAAGTGTAGGAAGCATTACAAAGGAGATATCACGTTATCAGCCACGTGGACCCATTTTCTGGAATCAGTCATCATTTCCTACTCAGACTAGGAAGACCCATGTGATTCTTAGCAGTAAGTTCTGTAGAAAATAAATGTTAGAATTCAAGTTACCAGTGGGATTTCAATACTGTAATGGATTAAATTTTGTCATTCATCCCAACCATCCAGTAGCATCCATCCAATGACCTACCACCTGGTTTGAGCTTCGGGTGGGTATATCTTTGGTTTTGACTCCACAGCACCCAATAACAACACAACAGTGATAGACGAAAATGGTAGCTCTACTGTAGCTCTCAAGAATCCCAGAAAGCAGTACACTGAGACCAAAAAACTAAACCAAACCCGTTGACACGAGCGTGCTCAAAAATGAGCCAGGAGATCATTCTAAGGGACCACTTTAGGGTAAACCAAGACCAGGGAGATTGAATTCAGTTTACGATAAAGAATTGAGACCATGCGAAGGTACCTTTCCCAATTTAAAATATACTGAAACTTAATGTAGATGAATGGTTGTATTTCACAGATGGTCCACCCAGGGTGTCAAACCATGCTGGTCTGGTTGATTTCACAGTGCGACCTGAAGATGACAAAGGTGTTAATGGATCTGCCCTCTTTTCCAGAAAGCATAAGGGGAATGGTTTTCCCAGTTGATATTTCCCCAATACATGTGCCCCACTAACATAACATGCTCCCCTGCCCCAGCAAAAGCAGAATGTCTTTAAATGAAAACTTTGTGGACCGAATTTGCATTCTGTCCTTTGAATGACAAGATTAGCTCCAGTTATTAAAACACTGTTACATTCCTAAGCCTATCTTGTCATTGCAGTAGCAGTTATTTTTCAGACTTTAGACAGGGAAACAAAAAAACTATTAGTTCTAAAGAAGGGGTCTGATGGACAGCATGGAATGACTCTGGGGTCTATTAAATAAAGTGGGGTGATAAGAATCTTTTTTTTTCCTCTTCAACTCTTTGCACATAGGACAGTCAGCCCTGAACTCAAGTCTTACGCCCTGGGAGTTCTTTTTCTCCTCCTTCGTTTGTTGGGTACGTATTATCTCTTCATTCTTTCAGTAATGAATTGATTGCTTATTACCAGGTGAGTAAATATCAGTGAAATGGTCCCATTTCTTGGGTTTGTTTCCCTTTTCTGTGAAGTTCAATTATTAGTAAGCGACAGAAGCTTTTACTTCTGCAAATTTTACTCTGAATGAGACGTAAACTCAGGTGTTCCCTGGATATTGCAAAGTTTTCATTTATACCAGCTTATCTTCATGCCACCCTGAATCCCCAGTGGCGTAAAGGGGAACAGTGATGGCACCAAAAGGGGAAAAAAAATGGTAGTATAATTTGGCATCCTCATCAAGCCACCCATGAGCAGCTTGTGAAATGCTTCATTTCTAGGGCTGCCAGCTGGGCGAGAGAGAGAGGCGTTCTCACATTGCCTCGCAGATGGAAATACTTTGCACCCTTTAAATTTTTGCAAACTGATTTCATGTATTTACCTTGCGTTTCTGGGATGGGACAAATGTGACCTTCATGCTGTTGAGCTACTTTCTAATGTTTCGTATGGATAAAAGGAATAAAGTCTAACCCTGTCTTTGTTAAGATGGGAAAACAGAGAATGTGAATAGTCAATGATTCACCCAGGGCCTTGTGGACTGGCTCCGGGGAAGCTGGGATGGCCACCCAGAGAGCCTGACTCTCAGCGGGGCCCTGCCCTTTCCCCTGGATCACGCTGTTGCTTTATGAACATCCCTTTGTCAAGGCCGAAGTCAAGACAGGGTAACTATATTTTTTTCTTGAATAATAGGGAAGTGATTTTCTTTAATGGACTTTAAATTGTAAATTAATGTGCAATGGGAAATAACTGTGGCTTGTATTTTCAGAGTAAAAATTAAATTCCTCTTTCCAAGTATATACTCATGGATAAGCACATAAACTTAGCTACAAAAATATTTATAAAAATGCTTATAAATGTGAAAAATTGGCAACAACCCAAAAGTCCAATGGCTTAGAGTCATTTAAATAAATTATGGTTTATGATTCCAGTAGATTTTATGTTCCCCTTTAAAACTCTGTAAAGAAAAATATATACAGACTTGGAAAGGGCCACGTGGTATGTGGAGAGGAAAAAAGAGGTATATAATGTAATAGATATCAGATGTTTTTAAAGTATATATAAACATGGAAAAATATTAGAAAACTAGACATCTAAATGTTAACAGTGATTATCTTTGAGTTATGAAGCTATATGGTAAAACCTGCGAAAGCCAGAACCTGTGCAAGGTAGGAACCTATCAAAGAAGGAAAACGCAAACATTTTCCACTAACAGAGACCAATAGGTAAGTGCTAAGACTGCATCCTGTCAAAGCAGAAGGCTTGAGAGACCCAGAAAAACAAGACAGTCCCATTGAGTTCTGGCTTCTCAGGTTTCACTGTAAATGATATTGTATCAATAGCATTTTAAAGTGAATACCTAGATATATATATTACTTACATAATGATATTAATTCTTATACAATTGATATATGGAAAAAGAAAGGTATTTCCCGTTAGATCTGTTAATAAAGTTACATTCCTACCTGGGGGAAATGTGGTATACGCCCCTCCTGACCTTTCTCCTGTGCCTGTAGCCAGTAATTTCCAGTCAATCATTGTGATCATTCCTGCTGTGCCTGCGACAAGGCCTCAGAATCCTTCTTAACCACTGTCAATCCATGTTACGTTGATACACATATGAAATTTTTAATGGCGTCTCTGTCTTATTTCTATTTCATGGAAAATAGAAATGCCCTAGGTCTGTAAAGATGCCTCAGCTAAAACAAGTTCAGAGTTCATATAAAAGTAAGACAAAATAGAGAATAAAAATAAGAGCCTTCCTAGGAAGCTGCACAAGCCTGCAGAAATCTGCCAATCATACGGAGTTATAATTACGCTGATTGTTTTTCTTATATTTACGAGAGTAGAATGAATAAGGAATGTGTCACCATGCCCCCCACTGCCATCCCAGATGGTGGGATGGACTGGTAGGTGGAAGGATGTGTAATATTGGCTAGGAAGTTGGGGACCCTGATTTCTGAAAATGGTGAAACCATCCCACATATAGTTCATGCTACAAGTTGACATTTGCTGAGCATCTAGCGTGTTCCAAGCTCCGTGGAGCATACAGAGGTGAGTGAGTATGGCCCTGTCCCTAAGAGTCCTTCCAGGGCTGACGGGGGAAGGTGGGAGCCCCATCTGTAGAGTTACTGTGGAGGTCTGTGCATCTCTAAACGGATGCTAAGTCTCAATACAGTTGGAAAGAAATATTTACCTTTCAGAATGGGGTTTTTGTTTGTTTGTTTGTGTTTTTTAATTTTTTATTGCTCTTTAGGTGAAAGTTTACAGAGCAAATTAGTTTCCCATCTGATAGTTTGTACGGAAAGTGTTCCATGACATTGGCTACATTCTGCACAATGTGTCAGCACTCTCCCCGTTTCCACCCTGAGTTCCCTGTTACCTTTTGTCCAGATTTTTCACTCCTTCTGCCTTCTCATCTTTGCTTTTGGCAGATGTTATCCTTTTGATCTCATGTAATTGATTGTTCTAAGGAGCTGATGCTGTAGGGTGTTACCGTCTTATTTTATGGGCCTGTCTGTTGTTTGGCTGAAAGGCCTTCAGAATAGTTTTGATAGTGCAAGTTGAAAAAACTTTTGCAAGCTATTTCTGAAAAGTTAATGAAAACTGTAGGATGATTAAAGGGAAAACTGAATTATAAGCCATGCACAGTTTGATACTAAGATCATCTATGTTGCTCTAAAGCCTTTTCAGTATTTGTGTGTCTGCTCCAGGAATAATTAGCCAGGCATGATCTAGAACAGTGTTTTTCAAACTTCTGTGACTGTAATCCATAGCAAGAGATAAATTTTACCTTATGGCCCAGTACAAACATGTGTATACATAGAGCTGAAACAAAAATTCCATGAAAAAATGGAAAAAAAAAACAGTTGCTGTCGAGTCAGTTCCGACTCACGGCGACCACATGGGTTCAGAGTAGAACTGTGCTCCGTAAAGTTTTCAATGGCTGATTTTTTTAAAGTAGTTTGCCAGGCCTTTCTTCCAAGGCACCTCTGGGTGGACTCAAACCTCCAGCCTTTTAATTAGCAGCTGAGCACATTAACCGTTTGCTCTATGACCCTTAATGGTTTGATGTGCTCTGATATTTTCTTTTATTCTCTCTCTTCCATTCGCTCTTATTCTATTTCATGCTTTTTAAAAATGTCAGTCACAGCCCACTATATTGATTTTGTCTCCCATTATGAGTCACAAATCACAGTTTGAAATACCCTGCTCTAGAAGATTCTGACACAGTTCCATCTTTTAATTGAAAGCAGCTTATCAAAAAGTCCTTGCATATGACCTAATTCCCTTTTCTGCAGCACCCAATAAAATTAATCACCATTATTGTTAATGAGGGACCAAGCAAGAAATCAGATTCATGACATTGTTTTGTTCATCCTTTATGCTAGGCCCCATGTTGGGAGTATCACAGTTCAGTGTGACAGGATTCATAATGGAGTCAGCACAGGCTCAGTGGGATGTGTGGAAAGGCCACTGAACCTTGCCCTTGGATGACAGGGCAGGGGCATGGGTGTGGAAAGACATCCTGTCTATGCTGAGAGCTAAGAGTTATCCAGATGACCAGGAAGGAGAGAACATGTTAGACAGAGGGACTGAAAAGGGAAAACGCCTGGAGGTGAGGAAAGGAGCTGCTTTACACACCAATGGAAAGGAGTTGGTGGAAAGGGTGGAGGCAGGTACTGTGGTGGCACCAGTCAGCGTGGTGCCAGTAGCTTCCCCAGCTGCCCTCAGCAGCCCTGGAGTAGAAGCAGGAAGCGGCTGGGGGTATCAACCGAGCACGAGGGTTTGTGGGCAGGTGCGATGGAAGCAAAGCAATTGAGCACGATGGCCGAAGGGCTACTACAGTGATTGACCACAGTGCCTGGGGTGCAGCCACCACCATCTGTCAGTGCTGCTGTGATGCTGAACAGGTTTCAGGGGAGCTTCCAGACTAAGAGGAACTAGGAAGAAAGGCCTGGCAATCTACTTCCGAAAATCAGTCAGTGAAAATCCTATGGATCACAATGGTCATATCCACAGCTGATCATGGGGATGGCCCAGGACCAGGCAGTGTTTCCTTCTGTTGTGCAGGGGGTTGCCATGAGTTGGGGGCCAACTTGATGGCAGCTAACAACAACAACTGGATGTATTAATACAATATAATGGAAAAAGAGAATAGGAGGTGGTGGTCAAAGATGTCTTGTCTGAATTTGAGACGACAGAGGTGGAGCAGTTCTGAAGAAAGACCAGAGCGGAATGTGGGTGAAGAGCCTCGCTACTAAGGAGGACAAGTTGTAGAAAGGCCAGGTGTGGAATGAGGTGTCTGTGGCGAAGTGCAGGTCTCCCAGGACAGTGGCAGAAGTTGGAGGGGGTGGGGAGGGCGATACTGAGCTGGAAAAGAGTCGGTAAATTCAGAATCAACTGAACCATCTGCTCATAGCAGAATTCCTGGTATTATCAAGCCCATCGTTCTTCAGCCTTTTTTAAAGGTCACAGCCACTGCTTTTCTTTCTAGGTGTGGGCAAATCATCTGCTCCCAGGTCTGATTTAGAATCTTGCTCCTGGAGCGACTGCATGCCGTGGATGTTAAAGCCCCAAAACCAAACCCATTGCTGTCAAGTTGATTCCAACTCATGGCAGCCCCATGTGTTACAGAGTAGAACTGCTCCATAGGGTTTTCTTGGCTGTCATCTTTACAGATTCAGATCACCAGGCCTTTCTGCCACAGGGTGACCGGGTAGATTTGAACCACTAACCTTCAGGTTAGCAGGGGAGTGCAAACCACTTGCACCACGTAGGAACCTTCACTGAAACAAATATCTGTCAGGATTCTATGTCCAAGGCACTGTTCTAAGTGCTGCAAAGAATATAAAAATAAACAGGAGCCAGTGTCCTGCTTTCAACAGCCTCTAGTAGGAGAAAGAAGCAAGTGTGTGTGGGGGGG